AACGTGTGCTTTAAGACCCATAGCTTCCTGTCGATCCTCACCGATAACCTGCAAGCGTTAGTCGAAAAATAGAAAATATGGGGCCGTACCTTTATTCGGATTTTGGATACTCGATGTGATCTTCCTCGGCGTTGAGTCCCCGTGAATTTTGACCTCGATCATTTCGTGCGAAGCTTCTCCCGGATCCGATGTTCCTACGATCTCCGTTGTACGGTTGATATCGATCTCTACTCGACCTTGGATCTCGATCAATGTCCCTTTTGACCCTATCCATGGGCTTGTTAGAATAAACGGGCCCCGAAGGAGTCCCTAGTTGATCATCCTCGACCCTAATCTTCGACTGATACCGATTGTGTACGTCGGCCCAAGTGATAGTCGGATACTCGATTAAACTTTGCTTCAACTGCTGCGAAGCTATAGAACTCCGAGTATTGAGAATTTGAGCGAAAGCTTGAACAGCCCAGTCATCGGAGACCGGGGGCAAATCCATTCTCTCCATTTGGAACCGAGACACGAATTCCCTGAGCATCTCGTTATCTTTTTGCCTTACCTTAAAAAGGTCAGATTTCCTCATCGTAATTTTGAGGGCTCCGGCGTGTGCCTTTACAAATGAATCTGCAAGCATAGCAAACGAATCAATAGAATTAGGGGGTAAGTTATGATACCAAATTAAGGCACCCTCCGAATTTTTTCAATAGTACGGATTTAATTTCGTCATCTCCTAAATCGATTCCTTTGATGGCGCACATATACGAGGTGACGTGTTCATTCGGATCGGTCGTCCTGTTATACTTGAGAATCTCGAGCATACGGAACCTCTTAGGGATTGGCTTCGGAGCCGCACTAGGGGGGAAAGGTATTTGCACGAACTTTTTAGAATCCATCCCTTCCAATATCGGTGGTGCCCCTGGGATTTGATCAACATGGGAGTTATATGTTTCCACTTTTTTGTCATTATCCTCAATCTTTTTCTCCCCAGACTCGATTCTCCTGCAGAGTTCCTCGAGCATCCTTATAATTTCAAGGTCAGTCCCCGATCCATTATCGTTTGATCTTTCGATATCGGCTCAGTACATCTATTATTTTCATGTTCAGCTACGCCGGGAGTCTTATTTTGACTTTGAAATTGACCGATGGCGATTTGCTTGACTTGCAGCATCTCGAATATCACTTGGAGGCTGACTCTCCCATCTCCTATTCCTGGTGTTCCTTGGTCCCCCGGTCGGGCTTCCCTGCGTTCATTCCCTATGGGGTCTGTGCCTGAATCCACGTTTAGAGCATTATGTGAGATGATGTCAACTGGCTCCATATTTGGCACTTCCTCAAGGTTTATTGGTGGTACACCGACCCCTATACTGCTATTTTCTCCAAGACCTTCGTTGTCGTGAACAGGTGCACTTTGTGTGCTAGACATTTTTTAGCCTGAGAATCAAAAAATCTTGACAAGAAAAAGTGTCAAAAAATGTGTGTAATAAGAATCAGTAAAAAACAATCACTATTATCTTTAGCCCCACGGTGGCCGCCAAACTGTTTACCTCGAAAACATGAGTAACAATTAAATTTGATTTGTGGTTTTAAAGATACGTGATTTAGTTCAATACCAATTAACAATCAAGAAGTATGAAGTAGAAATGAAAAGAGAAAAGTGAACCAAACCAATGTTACTCAGCAGTAGTGACCTCGAGGTAGGCTTGGAATAATAAGAACAATTAAATAATAAAAGTAAAGTAAGAACAATAGAGCTAAAGGACAATGCTGATGAACAGTAGGCGAAAAAGGTAGAGAGTATATTCTTTGCTCAGTGATAAGATGATGTTACAAACGATTGGGGTCCCCTTTATATAATAGGGGAACCCAAAATAAGGAATATTTCTATTTACAGTAGGAAATATTCTTGATACAACTGTCTAACCGCCTAGTACGGAATCATACAATCTTATTCCGGGATTTGTACCACGATTATGGGGACGTGGCAGGAATCTAGCTCATTCTGTTACGAATTCCTAACGGTACTATTTCAGGGTCGAGCATACTCGGCCTTGGTGTACGTCGTGCTTCAGTCTTCGGGCATTGCACTCTGTCCTCGAGCTCAGACTCGACCTTGCCCGAACTCGGGCTCAAAATGACCCCTCGAGTCCATAGATCGGAGGCATACGATTTCGACCGTATTCACCAATGAACTTTGATGAAGCTATTATAGAAAAAGGTGGAGGCAACGCATAGAGGAGGAGATCGAGTCAATAGAGAAGAACAACACTTGTGAGTTAACAACTCTTCCCAAGGGTCATCGGGCAATATGAGTGAAATGGGTATACATGACAAAGAAGAATGCTGATGGAGATGTGGAGAGATACAAGCACTACTAAAAAAATTAGGTTTTAGCGACGGACAAATTCTGTAGCTAAATAGAAAAATCCATTGCTAATCTCATTTAGCGACTTAGCAACGGATTATCAAGAAACTCTTCTTGCTACGAGCATTTTAGCGACAGATTGGCGACGACGTTCGTAGCTAATTCCAATTTTTTTGGTAGTGAAGGCACGACTTGTGGCTAAGGGATACAAGCAAAGACAATGTATTTCCAATAAGGAAGTACAACTCAAATATTTGAAGTTTCATGATCAAGCTGCGGATATCTTTACAAAGCATCTCAAGTTTGAAGATTTTCAGAGATTGAGATCAAGTTTGAAATGAAGAAGAAAAATCAAAATTAAGGGAGAGATTTATGGGCCATCTAAATAAATAAAAAAGAAATAAAGAAAAACAAGATGAAAGCAAGTTGCAGGAAGCAATTGTGGGCGGCAACAAGAAGTTGCAAAACCAATTTGCTAAAGTTCATTTTCTGATTGATTTTACAAATTCAAAATACCAATCTTTTGATTGGTTAGAGATGAGGTGACATCTCCTATACATAGAAGCATTAAGCTTCATTTCATACACACTAAAATTAGAGAGCACAATTGAGCATAGAGAGAGTAATTCACAGATTGTAGTCTGTGAGTTAAGTAGAGAGTGAGAGTAATATTATAGTGAGGTGTTTAAAATAAAGAGTGTTATTTCTTTTGAATGTGTAGTGGTCTCTTGATACCGCCAAGTTGTAATATTATAGTGGTATTATATTACTCACCTCGGGTATTGTACTTTCTAACTGTCCACATTTACCTATTTGGGTTCCAAGTGGTACTGGTTCTTTTACCACTGCTTCAGCTTGGAATTTGATCAGGCAAATAGTGTTAAATGTCATTTCTAAAAGAAGATTTGGCAAAAATATATGAGAAATTTTCATAAAGCATTATCTTTTAGTAGTAATTAGCTATCTATAGATACCATTTGCTATATTACGGAATATAGATACCTTTTCTGTGGTTATAATATGTATTTGATGTATTTAAGCTATTGTATTCATGAATACAGTAGCAAAAATAGGCGTGAATCAGGGAAGTCCAGCTAATCAGTTGTTGTATTCGAGTGTATTCAACTGTATTCATGGAGTCAAACATGGGATTACAGCTGGACAGATTATTGTATTCGACTGTACTCATGGCGTGAAATAGGGGATTATACTGTTTTCAAAACGAAAAGTGAATCAATTAACATAATAGACTCCTAATATATCTCAACAAACTCAATTATAACACACAAATTTTGTATTTTTCAGTTATAAAAAAGATTCTCAACCGCAAAATACAATGAAATAGATAGAATATAGAGGGATACATTGAAATACACAATGAGAAAAAAAGACACTGAATACAATGAAATACATGGAATACAACGAGATACATTGAATTACATTGGAAAAAAAGATAGTGAATACAATGAAATACATAGAAATACAGCGAGATACATTGAAATGCTCTTAAAAAAAAAAGTTAATAGAATCTTCAAATTGCTCAACCCCAAACTTCAGACTCCGACGACCCATCGGATTCCGACCATGATTCCATAAGCAATTTGAATGTATCTCGCTGTATTTGAAGATTCTGTACACTCTGTTTGACTTTGATAAGGACATCACTTGATTACTTGCTACCGTGATTTGTGTGGTAAGCAAATACTGAAATCTATGATTAAGAATTTTGGCGGCTGTGATCATCCCATTAAAACCAAACAACCTTTCAATCGGGTGAGCACTAACGTAGCTGAAACTACCACCACAGATGAAGGTCCAAAACATTGAAAAATTCGAAACCTATTATTCTTGTCTTGATTCAAGAATCCAACCAAAACCAAAGATGTAACCCACCAAAATTCCCAAAGGCCAATCACACCACAGGCTTCAAATTTCTAAAACCACCAAATTGCAATAAAATCTTAGGGAACTTGCGGTGAATAGTAGGATAAGCCCCATATGCTGTGACTATCAAAATCAAAGCTTAAAGAAGAGAGATTTTAGGATCGGAAACTTTAGACAAAGAGGTTTCTGAACTGGGTTTCTCTCAACCGGATGCGGGAGCCAGAGCAATTTCTGAAGTGGGCTTTGCACAAATACCGGTGGAAGGAGGAGGAGAGGGGAAATTTTAATGGGATGGGGGAAGAGAATGGGATGTATCAAAGTAGAGAGAGAAAGAAAATAGTGTAACTGATTAGCGTATTTAGTGGCTTAGGGCTAGGAGGTAACCAAAATTAAATATTTTGCTATAAACCTTAAAAGGTAACTATAGAATATAATTTTTTTTAAATGGTATTTATTTAAAATAAAAAAGGTGGTAAAAATTCCTTTATATATCCCTTTTTAATTGTCCTTTTCTTGAGTGGAGGATTAAACAAGAAAAGTTGTCTTTTGATGATATTATTTTGAAGGCTAGGTGTGCAGTAAAATATGGCACTTAAGAGAATCCATTACCTTACACAACTTACATGGATTGTGTCCCCAAGACATCTCTGCTAATCATTAATATGTTGAAAGGGGAGAAAACCACCATAACATATTCTAGCTATAAAAAACCAATTAAGTTGCGAACGCTTTGGCTAAATGGAGTACTGATAAGCAAAAGAAATAAGTAACAATAGTCAACTAATTAACAACTTGATGACACAAATGGTATGTTTGCTAAAACGTGTATCTTTATTTCACGTTACATTCAAAATTATAAATTTATAATTGACGAATCTAATACCTCCTCACGAGTGAAAGTGAGGCCAAGTCTGATGGATCCACATTCTTCATCATCCTTGTAAAGCTGATAAGAGGTTGACCCTACCTCTCCTTCACGAAACACTTCTTCCAAGGAAATTCTATTTTCGATTAACAAAAAAACAACATTATTAACGTTGTTTAACTGCATAACAAAAAAATTAATATTAAGGAATATAATCAGGGAGATTATTAACGTTGCTTCTCCTAGGAAATCGTCATCTTGGAATGTGTTTTCATCCATAAGTTTGATGTGAATCTCGTCGCAACCACGAGTGACGGTGAAGAGGAAGGACTCATTCCACTCAGGGTCGGATCCTTCACCTGTAAAAACCGCTCATATTATTGAGTTATGAATTTTAATTTATATACACTGAAAGTAAACTGAATTTTTACACTTACATTTTTTCACTAACATAGGTACGTACAATAAAATTTCAATGTTTAATCCAAGTTAATTAACTACAGACCTGATGCAGTACTGCTTTTCTTCTCTTCAGTACGGCAGGTGACAACCACGTAAGGATTCATATCAGCTGTTGAAAAAAGAAATTAAATTCTTTAACCCATGATGAAGGATTAATAACGTACATTAAGCAGTGGATTCAAGACTTAATTTTATTTGTATATATATTTTTTTCTTTTGTTCGGGTTATTTACAACAGGAAGGAGTGAACATTCCCGAGGTGAAGGTGACCATTCACTTTTACCTCAAAAAGATTTTCTAAAAAATTACAAAAATGATAAGGAGTCACACATGTATTAGTGAGTTAGTGAGGAACTTACTTAGCCAATTTGTGTCATCAAGGCCTCTGGCATTTGCAACATAAACTTCAAGCTGTCCGTAAGGCATCTTTGGATCAAATTATTGGTAAATAAAACAGAATAAGATAATGGGAAGAAATTGAAAGGCTTCAACAAAAATATCTTTATTGCTTTAGATTATGACACTTAGGCCTGCTTTTATAGTTTACTAGTCCAATCACTGTAATACACGCGATCATTGTGATCCGTAAATATTTGAAGACGTATTTGAATAATTGTGGTTAAAGTAAAAGTAAGAGTAACTGATTTATTAAAAAGTAACAGTAAACTATATTTGAGAAAAGTATTGTGCAACAATATTGAATGACTGATGGCCTTTTTCATATTTATTTCTCTTTTAATATTTCTGTGGAGTACTACTTCAAACCCTTATTAGAAGGATGTATTAGTGGTGATCCTGATAATTTAACTTGCTACTTACTTTTTGTATTTTTATTAGAATTCTTGGATTCAGAATAAATTAGGTTCTTTCTAATAAGTGAAAAATCTTCTTCTTCTTTTTTTCCTTTTGAATTTATCTTGACGGAGAAAATGTACGAAGAAAGCGATGAAGAGATAAGGTAGTGAGTAAAATCTTAACCCTGTTATGTTCAACTGGGAAACAATGAAGGGAATACTTTAGGAAATCTTTCAATTTACAAAATAAATATTTCCCTAAGGAAACGAATAATAAGTACTGTAATATCTCTTGAGGTAAATATTTCTACGAATAATAAGTAGAGAATTTTCATAAAGTACTATAGTTCAAAGCCTAGTAACTATAATTTGTCTAATTATCATTCATAGCTACTATTCATTTGTTATTAACGTGTATCACGTGTATTCAAATGTGCAACGAATACAGACTATGTCAATTGTATTCGTTTGCGCAACAAAACAGCATGTGTCAACTATATTCGTTCGGGCAACGAATACAACCTGTATCAATGGTATTCGTTCGCACAATTATATTTATCCGCGCAACGAATACAACCTGTATCAATGATATTCGTTCGCGCAATTATATTTTCGCGCAACGAATACAACATGTATCAACTGTAACTAAGGCGAAATACAAGAATGTATGTATATAAGAATGTATATAAAAGATACAACTTATATCGACTGCATTTGATGTAAATATTTGACGTATCGTGTAATTTTTCCTAGTACGTAAGGTAATATAAAAAAGTACAACTCTTCATCCGCTTTCATTGGTATTGAAGTCCCAACGTTATCATCTAAAATTTGACTAATCCCAATTTGGGCTCGTGGAAAAAAATAAATTGGGCCTCCTTTTCATCTACGTGCGTTGGATTCGTAAAAACTGCACGGGCGTCCTATTTGGTCGCCCCAATTTAATCTATATTCATTTTTTTAAAAAGTTTTAACTTGTACCCACTTTTAAAATAACTTCAGCCCCCTTTCTCCCCCTCCTTCTCCTCCTCCTCCTTCTTCTTCTTCTTCTTCTTCTTCTTCTTCTTCTTCTTCTTTCTTCTGCTGCTGTTGGTGCTGCTATGAAACTTCGGTTCATGGGATGATTGCCATAAGTATGTTTATCAGATTATTTAAAAATAAATTATAAATAATTAATTACGTAAGCTAGTAGACAATAATTTATGAATATTTCCACGTAATTCTGTTCTTTTCACGTTTATTATTTCCAAAATTTATGATTTAGATATTGTTGGCAATCTGATTATTTTATAATAGTAATACACTATGAAAGAATAAGGTGATTATTTATCTAGTATGTTAGAAAGTTTTTTCAAAAACTTCAGCTATTTTAGTGCTTAAGTTTTTACAATTGAACTAAATAACTTCAGCATCTTCTGCTGAAGTTTTTTGAAAAAGCTTTATGACAAAACTAATGAATCCGGGACAAAAAAAACTTCAGCTTATATAGTGCTTAAGTTTTTACTAATGAACCAAATAACTTCAGCATCTTCTGTTGAAGTTTTTGAAAAAGCTTATCCAGGACCAAAAAAAAATTCAGCTTATTTATTGCTGAAGTTTTTACAAATGAACTAAATAATTTCAGCATCTTCTACTGAAGTTTTTGAAAAAGCTTATCCAGGACAAAAAAACTTCAGCTATTTTAGTGCTGAATTTTTTACAAATGAACTAAATAACTTCAGCATCTTCTGCTGAAGTTTTTGAAAATTTTTTATGACAAAACTAATGAATCCAGGAATTTTTTTTTTTTAGCTATTTTAGTGCTGAAGTTTTTACAAATCAACTAAATAACTTTAGCATCTTATCTAGGACAAAAAAACTTCAGCGTATTGCCTTTGCTACTTCAGGCCCGTCTACTAGAATGCTGAAGTTTTGCGTGATTGCCTTTGCTACTTCAGGCCCGTATGCTGAAGTTACGCGAAAAAGTGGGTACGCTTGTAATTTTTTTTTACAAAGCGGACACAAGTTAAAACGTGGCCCAAAAAGCGGGTGTAGATACAAATCCCCCGTTAGATTCAACAAGCAAAAAAGCCCAAATCAAACATGCTAATTGGATGTCAGCAAGGAAATCCAACTGTTGGCCTTAACCAACCCCCGAAATGGATGAAGGGACTTCCTCTCCCATGGAGAAATCATCAGTCTATAAGCCATTCGGTTCAAATAATGGCCCTACTTTATTCAAGCTACTCATTTTATACTTTATAAGTAATTTAATATTAACTTATAGCCAAAACACTAAAATTTCATTCTTGCTCCAATTTTTCAGCTGTTTACTTCTCCTCTCTCTCTCTCCTCTTTTTTTTAAGGGAAAAGATAGTTATATTAATATTAGTAAAGACAGTAGCAAGTACTAGGGTACAAGACCCATAGAGTTGCCATTAATACATAGTTGTGCCATGTCATATAGGGCATTGTCATTACCTAGAGATGCTAGAGTGCTACATACAATCATACTACACGACCTAACGTAGTTACAACCTTCCTGGTCCTTACAATACACATCCATTGCAAAGGTAGGTGGTGATACAAAATAACGAGTTATATTATAACTAGGGTACTTTAGAGCTTCCTTGACCATCTTGTGTGCCACCATGTTTCCTTCACGGAAGTTGTGCTTCATTATGATCTCCCCCTGCTGCATTGCCTTCCCCATTAAGCACCTGCATTCATGAATTAAATCACTGTAAGTAGGATAATCTTCTTCTAGAAAACGAATCAACTCAGTGGCATCTGTCTCTAGTTCACATGGGATGATCTTCTCCTTGATAATTGTTTGAAGTGTCTGCCGAAGAGCAAGTATTTCTGCCTGTATAGGTGATATTATTAGACACTTCTCGTAGTAACCCAATATCCACTCTCCTTTGTTGTTGCGTATGATTCCACTGATTCCTCCATGCCGGCAGTCATTGTTAAAGGCACCATCAAAGGTGAACTTGTACCAGTTTCTTGGAGGTGGGTGCCATTTTACCTTTACCTTTATAGGAATATTACTAATAGTGGGCTTGGATGTGAGCAAGTGATATTCAAGTGTTTGTTGAAAGACCTTCGTTGTATTAATAGAAAGATTGGTGTTGTTAATGTCACACCTCCTTTTTCACCTACACCCCCAAGGGCGTAAAGGAGTTTTTCCACTTAAAGGACAATCGAAACGGGATTTGTTTATTAAAATTCAGAGTCGCCACTTGAGAGATTTATGGTGTCCCAAGTCACCGGTTGAGAATCCCGAACCGAGGAAATTATGACTCTGTTAACAGTCCGCGAACCAGAAATCCAGGCAAGGAATTCTGTTAACCCGGGAGAAGGTGTTAGGCATTCTCGGGTTCCGTGGTTCTAGCACGGTCGCTCAACTGTCATATTTGGCTTATTTATTTGATTTTAGTACATGTTTTTGGATTTATGTGTTTTTAACTTTGAACCGCTTTTGTTATATTTATTTTAACTGAATTGCAACGTCGTGAAAACATGCCTCGAATTACGTCACATAAATGCACCCGCAACTTTCGACACGTTTCGACTTCGTTGAGATTTGGATTTGGGTCACATAAATGTGCACCCGTAATTAAGAAGGTAAGATTATTAAAAATGCGCCTAAAGTGACTAACGAGTTATTATCTTTGGGGAAGGCCGTGAAATTCGCTAAACGGCCCATCCCGAATTTTGAGTATTTTATACATTTAAAGAGGGCCCCGCGACTTTGTATTTTTATTTGGCGAGGCTCGTCTCATTTTATTTTAAAAGGGCAAGTCTAAAAGCAACTATGATTTTCTATTTTTGTTTTTGTCTATACAAATAAAGAAAAGATCCTAATTAATTATTGTTGTAAATTTCAGGCCTCGAGTTCAAACCCGAATTCAAACAAAGGGGAAACTCCAGTCCTGGGCCAGAGAGCCCAAGCTATGCCATAGACATTGGGC